TCCGATCTGATGCTTCGAATGTCCAGTCTGAGCACACATTACACACTGCTATTTGATTGGTGTATATTGGTGAAAGGCAATAATTTATTTCAGAGTCGCGGTGCCAGCCTCTCAGACTAACAGACGGTATCGAGTTATTTCCCTTAAACTGCTCTGCTGACCTTCAATACCCAGGAACTGTGTGTCGGTATCGATGTAAAAGAGGTTATCAAATGTCTGGACCAGACCGTACTGTTTGCAATGATACTGGGTCATGGTCTGTAACAGTAACGGAGTGTACAGGTAAGCTCTACCACACCTGAATTTTACAAGACCAACTTAACATGATGTTATATACTGAATTCGGTTCGATTCACAAATAAAAAAAGTACTATTATTTTACTTACTCGGATTTTGCAGTCCTATTTGAAATTCAGTAGTAACTTCACTAATCACGTTCGAAAAGTGTAGGCCGATGTCTCATGGCACACTGTCTAGCGTTGTCCATCTTTATTTGCAGTAGATATCAGGGCACAAATCTCATATTAGTCTTAATCTAATTAAATGTGATGTCAACATTGTATAGATGTGGAGGCACCAAGAATAACCTGTCCAGAAGACTTAACAGTTCCACTGACAACGTCGAACATAGCAATTGTATATTGGAACACCCAGAAGCCTTTAACAGATGATAATTCTGGAGAGACTAGACTGCGTATTACTGGTCTAGAGAGCAATCCAGCCAATCTGACAATTGGATATTATACTATAAGATATATAGTAGAAGATATAGTAGGAAATAGTGATAGCTGCACTAGAAACATACACGTTGTTGGTACGTTATTATCATATTTTACCATTTTATTATTCATATTAGACACCTGATACCACTTTTCACTATGCTATATGATTGATATACTTCTTCCGAAAGAGGTTTCGAGTAATCATTTAGGGCGAGTATAAAATACCCGTAAAGTCGCTAACGACGACCGCCATAATTGCATTTGAATGTATTTAGCCAAGTCAGAATTCGGTGTCATTTCAGATAGAATGGTAAAGCTAGTGTATTGTCCTAGGAACATTACAAACCGTTCTGTAACTGGAAGTAGTATGCGGGTATCTTGGCAGAAACCCGTTTTTGTAGATACTAACGGTAAACATGTGGGTTATCAATGTTCAAGAATCAATGGTTCGGTATTTCAGCTGGGATCTTATAATATACATTGTACAATACTGACAACAGAAACCGTTCACAATGCTCCAAGCTGCACCTTTTCTATATTATTAGAACGTAAGTAATCCACACCATTAAAGGCCGGAATGGAATCTTGTTCCATTTTTCCGCACCTGATAGGGCTCATGAAGACGTATTATTAACGGAAGGTGATCCTCTCAATAATATGATTGATCACTTAACTTATTTTCGTTCGCATTAACGAATTTGTTTTTAGCTAAAATGAACGCGTGGCCAGATCATCATTTTGGCACGGAAATGTTGACATCATTCAAACTTGAGATTGTATTAACAGAATTTACGACAAAATTCTTGTTCTTGAAGACTCCGATGACAATATCCAGCAGTATCCCCGTCCACATTCTGTGTCTGGACATCTTGACAATATCCACTATTCCTTGTATCATGGAATGCAGCGATTTGATTTGATTTTACACCAGCGAATACAACCAACCAGAGCCCTCGACACATTATGGCGTTGTCAATTTCCTGTCGAGGTCACTGATTGTCTGTATTCAGTAGTTTACAATCCAATCAAATCCCTTCATTTACAAACTTCCATGATGCATGAAATGTGACTATAGCAGTCAATTTAAAGTAATAGCTGGACATTGTGAAGATGATGTCTGTACAATGAAGAGGGCCACACAATGGCATACTCATGTGTTTATTTCAGGTAAACAATGTGAGATACCACCTGCTCCGTACCATATACTCATGTGTTTATTTCAGGGAAACAATGTGAGATACCACCAGCTCCGTACCATGGTAGTCTATCCTGCAATACTGGTAGTAGTGATGCTCTCATGATTTGTACCGTCAAATGTAATTCTGGTTATGACTTTTATTATACACCACAAACTCATTATAAATGTGACTTGAGTGGTAATTGGATTTTAAAAACTCCAGGCACATTTTGGCCAGATTGTTCTAGTAAGTCAAATTTTGTTTTTGGTTTCATTGCTTCAGCGTTCGACGAACCTTAAAAATCCCACATCCAGGCTTGTGAATGAAAAATGACAAAAAATCCAGTTAGTTTCACACTATAGTATTATTGCTCATGGATTTACTTTTCACAGAATTTGTATATTCCTAAACTGTTGGTCACAATAATTCGATGAAGTGGATCATGTATTTCTGTTTATATTTATACTTGGCAGGAAAATACCACCCAAGACGAGCCAAGATGAGAGGATTGGCCGAGTTTTTCTATTATAATGGTATTTGTGAAGAGAGAAAGCGAATCATTAAAGAAAAATTCACACGTTTAGTTCAAAAGCTATCGTGGAAGATATGTGGGGAGTCGTCATGTACAGTTAGTAACGTAACTGTGAGGTGTGGTCTTCAGTCCAGAAGACGTCGAGACGCAGATAAGACTAAAGATCTTCCAGACCCTTTGACGGAAGAAAAAGATGACACTAACATTAACCCATTTGACATATTTTCAATTAAGAGCCTGGATGTTGGAGTCGAAGAAGAGACTCAAATAATTACAGAAGCTCCAGTTATTAGGCAATCACCAGACCATGGCGAGGAGAACCTTATGTCTATATTGACACCAACGCCAGACAGTCTTCTGTCAACAAGTACTGATCTAACAGACGAAAAACCTTCTAATGAAGAGAGAGACCGTACATCCACAATTGAACCCATGAACACAGAACAGAATATATTGGAATCAAGTAAATCGGTAACAGAAGACCCACAAGAGTCAATAATTTCAACGAATGTTTATAGTACTTCTAGGGATGAAGCTAATAGTCATCTTATGGTTGAAGATACATCTTCAGCATCGGTAACAGAATCATTTCATTCTTCATTAGATCTTGAAGCGTATACTGAGGATCCTAATATTACAGATGATGCACCAGAGCACCCTTATAAACATACTGGATCGTTGATGATTGGTTTTCTCATAGAGAATGAAACTAACAGAACAAATGTGACTCAAATGGATCTTGAAGAAGTATTGGATGCGCTGTGGAATGTTTTTGATGAGATACAACTTTCAAATATTTCAATTAAAATTGAGGAGGAGGATATGATTCTTACTCCACAGAATCTAGATTTCCAAGAGCCGTCAGTGGTTAACTGTGATGTCGGGTATATTCCCGTTTTGGATACAGTTGAGCAATGTGGTAGGATCACTTTTTTCAAGAAATATACATTGCAAATTTGAATAGCAACGAATATCGAGAATATCTTAACAAACATTTTAAATTTGTTTTAGATTACCTAGATTCTCTGATATTAAAGGTAAAAAAAGAAAATCAATCCAAATCAATGTCGAGTGCAAAAAGGAAGAAAAATATGTTGATTTTTAACTGGTTTTGTATTATCTACATTCTCTGAAATAAATAGTGAATAAGAAAATCAATCAAAATCAATGTCGAGTGCAAATAGCAAGAAACAAAACTCAGTTTATTTACACTAATTTATCATTGTTTGTAGTGTTTAATCCCTATGCAATATTTTGCAGTTGGTTGTCCAAGAGGTACAAAATTGCTGAATGAATCATGTTCACCATGTTCCATCGGGTTCTATCAAGATAAAAATGCCCAAATTGAATGTAAAAAATGTCCTTATGGACACACAACTATCCAAAATGGTGCAGTGAGTTTCAATAATTGTACAGGTTGGTTATGACATTTCTAGATATTGATAATGATCCCAAAACAAACACGTTTGTCTTAAAAATCAATTATGAAACTACCTTTTAATATATTGTTTAAGTGATTACTTCTATCCATATGTTCTTTATAGAGATTACAAACAGGCTTTTAAAAACTTTTTATGTGCATCGGGGACACTGATATCAATCATTTGAATTGTTCCCATTTTCGGTCAGACGTCTGCATCTCGTCCAATTACACCAAAAGTCAGCTTTGTATCGCGTCACTATCACAAAAGCTGCCTTTGATATTTGCGATAGTGACGTCATAGTTTAAGTGGAATTGCAACAACCACAGGCGTCTGATTGAAAATTTGAATGATGCAAATCGATGCTATCGGTGTTCCCGATAACGTAAAAGTTTAGTAAACCTTTTTACAATTCCTTTTAAGTATGTAGTCCCCAGTTCAATATTTATGCCATTACCACTATGCAATATTCATTGTGATTTTCATGTTTATTTAGTACCGTGTCCACAAGGTTATGTATCACCAACTGGTTATAAACCATGCGATCCATGTGATGTCAATACATATCAAGACGAGACTGGACAGACACATTGTAAAGTGTGCCCTAACAATACCCTAACTCTTGGTGTTGGTTTTACGACATTAGATGATTGTGTAGGTATGTGTTTTCCTCCTTTCATCGCAGGAAAGACAGATTTCCCAATACATGTATTTGTTTTAACAATATAATTAATGTTTCTTCTTTTTGGTACATTCTAGACTATAGAATATCCAATAATAAAGAAGCTGCCGAATCCCCTTAATTGTGCTCCTTTGAACTTTTGGGTATTTTGAATGTTTTTCTGGAATTAAGATTTGTTGGCGTCCATTTAAGTTGTTCTGATAAAGCAGATCAGGTTTTGAGGATCCAATGGTTTCTCTCAGGCTTTACTACTAAACCTCCGTGGTATCTTTACTCTCGGTATTTCACCTGTCATTTCAACACTCATAACTTTGTACAGGATATGAAAGTAGCTCTCAAACATATTTTGTGGTTTGTTTTCCTAACACGATATATTGAAATATTCCGTTAGATCCGTCTTTGAAGATGTCGTGCCTTGAAGGCAGCAACTCATCCTTTTGCCCAAGCTGTAATGATTCAGTTTGTATGAATGGTGGACAGTGTGTTCCAGTTGGTGAAGACATACTCTGTAATTGTCCAATTGGGTACTCTGGATCGCAATGTGAAATACCTTATGACCTTTGTCAGCCGAATCCTTGCTTTAACAATGGATCCTGTTTCCAAGATGCTGGTGGATATAACTGTGCTTGTTATGATTATTTCCGTGGTATGTTTCTATATACTACTACTCTTGTTTTTAAGTATATCTTACATGTTCTATTCAGTCTAGGTATGAAGAACAAGAACCCTGTTTTCCTCTGGGTCGTTTACACTAGAATGATAATGTATGAGTAAAGGAATAAATGCTTACAGGGAGAACTGAACGATTGTGTCATTAGACAAGGTGTCATCTTATGCTATCGTGTTGGATAAAAAATTGAGATATGATGGTGGGCCTTTTTTATATACATTTTGTGTGCTACAAACAGGTTTTAACAATACTTCCAGGTGACCAATGTGAGACGTATATCAGTCCATGTGCGAAGACATCGTGCTTTAATGGTGGATCATGTTTAGATGAAGGATATGGTATATTCCAGTGTTACTGTCTACACAATTTTACTGGAGAATTGTGTGATATAAAACTGGACTATTGTGAATCTAACCCATGCCTTAATGGAATGTGTAAAAATGAGGAATATGGCTATGTGTGTGATTGTGCACATGGTTATGCAGGTGATGTTCCTTATCTAGGACTATTTTTTTAGATAGCGTTTAGATGCCCATGGTTAGAGACATCCTTCCCAATTTAACAGTCATTTAATTAAATGGTTGAAATAGTATTTCTGTTTCTGTTAATCGATATTTTTTTTATTAGTTTTCATTTTTAATATAGCCACTTCAGTTTACTGATAGACTGGGATCGTTTGAAGTTCAATTTTGAAATAATGTTATGATGATCAACACAGCCAGGCAAGAAAACAAAGATCCTTTATTTTGTAGGTAGAAATTGTGATGTAGCAATCAATTATAATTGTCGACATGTAGATTGTCAAAATAATGGTAGATGTATTGAGAACGAAGAGGGACCAAGTTGTTCTTGTGTTCGGGGATATTCAGGTACTGTGTTAATTCTCTTGTATTATTTGAAAATGAGTGTTATTGGAAATTGTCTACTCATCTGATGACTTCAGCAATAATTTCTGTTTTGTTGGTAATAATACTTTCAAATCCCTTTTCGGCATTTCATATCGTATTGGAATATTACTACAGTCATTAGAACCTTTCTTTTGAACACTCGAAACTGTTCTGTCTGTGGGTTCTAATCTTGATTATCGTGTGCAACTCCGGTGACCTTGAATAAGTCATCTTCACTTAAAATTCCAGTCGAACCAACTGTAAATGAATACGGGTAATCGGGGAAAGATCAATGCCAAAGGATTTGGCAGAAATGATCCTTAACTGTGAACCTTAGTTGTTATCCTTGTAAAATATAGATGTTTCTTACCTCGTAGGTATACGTTGTGAGGTTAATGTTGATGATTGTTCCTCTTCACCCTGTAAGAACAGTGCCACGTGTGTTGATGGCTATGATGAATATATGTGTAGATGTATACCCGGTTTCGGTGGTCGCCATTGTGAAGAAGGTATGTAACATTTAACTTCTTCCGTTTCCTGGATGGATGTTTAAAAGCATTGTGATTTTTTTTTTTCAATTTGATCGAGCATTTGCAAATCAATTTCTATAATAAATAAAGTCTGGTCTAATTTCAGGTTATTCGCTAAAGCACCAGGGTTCAAAAAGAATTGACTGCCTTATTTTAAAATTCTAAAGTTATCATTCGAGGTCACATAGCTAATCATATTTTTAGAAATTGTATCCAGTGTGCTTTATACGTGATATATATGTATATTTCATTTATAATAGTGGCACCACAGAATTTTGATCTTCAGTTAGACAACAATCTGGGTATTGGTTATGTTCGCTATCACCCATTTCATGATTCCAAGATTATAGAATTTACCATATCACTTTGGTTCCGGTCATATCAGAAAGATATTGGAGTATTATTGTCTTACACGGATAGTGATGATTTTGGAGATTTTGTTGATGTTATTTCAGTGGAAGAGAAGAATAATATTCTAACGGTTTGTATTTTCGAAACTGAATCTGATAATAAAAATATTAATTAAAGTTGTCATAAGTGAATAGGTTCGAGGGTTAGCTTTCAATAGCTTCAATTGTTAAGTGTATGATCTATTCAGTGCTTTTAGTATAAAACAATTACTTTCTTAACTTCGTAGCTGAAGTATGCCTAGGATAAAGCTATGTTAAGGATTGACAATCCAAAGGAGGTCGTCACAACGCTAATGCTGTTTGAGAAAATTCTGCAAATTGCCTCAATGGATTTACATAGCAAGGTGCACAGAAACAGAATTTAGTATATTCAGTATGTGTCAATTTTTGGCAAGAAATAAATATTCCATTCTTATTTCAGTTTTCAGTGATGGACTCGAAAGTCGTCACACCAATAGATCTTCCACGGGGCCATTGGCATCATGTTATATTAGATTGGTCTTCTAAATATGGTATCTGGAATGTCTATATCAATGGCACAATTTCAGGAAATGGTTTCAAATTCGCTCAAGGCATGTCGCTTCCCGTCCGAAGATCTTTAACATTAGGTAAATACAATCTTTTCTTTTCTTCCTAAGGCACGGGTGCATAACATTCACTAGGAATATAAAACCATAGATCATTGAGGTGGTCCAGGATGAGTAACGATCTCTTAACCATTGAGGTCGACAGGGTTCAATCTTGGTAACTAGCGACAGCTGTGATTTTTATATCAAGATTCTGCCAGTCGCAGTGTCGATCTGAGATGGGTAGTGCTCTTTCTTTTTACTTTTCGTATTGCAACATATTGTTGCTTTTTTTTGTTTAACTTAGAATTAGTTCACCACTACCCTTTCCCATTTGGTCTCATTGTCCAAGTATGTTGCAGTGTCGTATATATTATATTGAGAAAATATACTTTTATTCACAATTCTATTTTTATTGATTTAGGATTTAAAGAGGATTATTATGGTGGAACTAGAAATATCTGGAATGCCTTTACTGGTGAAATAAGCCAATTTAATATGTTTGACTCTGTCATTCCTGAAGATAAAATACATACTATATATAACAATAGCAGTTGCAGTGCTGAATTGGGAAGGTTGATTGCCTGGTCAGATTCGTTGAAAGGAATTTGTGGTGCAGTATCCGTGCGGAATCAATCTCGATGCTTAGGTAATTCTGATACAATTTTGATCTCTTTCTTAAACACTGAAACCAAATTATTATTTACAGATTCTCTATATGAATATTAGGTTGTCAACTCGTCGCAGGGAGGTTGAACGGATCCACTCTTTTTTTATTTACAAATAAGATCGTCATATTGATTGTTGAAAGTAAGAATAAGCAACCATTTTTATTTTGAGTGCGGGGGGATACCATGTCTTACAAGTGATCATTTTATTGAAACTCAAAGTTCATGTCAATACTGTGTGGGATTATTTTAGAAATGACATGAGCATTAGTTCCGGTATAAGGTAATTTTTTTTTTCAGATATAAATGAATGTATGGAATGGAAACGATGTACTGAAAACAACAGGATATGTATAGATAGACCACGTGGATATGATTGTGTTTGTAATTCAGGATTCACTGGAATGAATTGCCACGATCCTATAGATGAATGTGTACATATGAACTGTCTTAATGGAGGGTATTGTGAAGATGGTTATGGAATAAATGATGCTATCTGTGTCTGTCCTAAAGGCTTTTCAGGTACCGAAAGTCTTTATGTAAACCCTCTTCCCCCCTTCACTGCTTTTAATGCAGCTCAGTCGGTTGGATCTTTGGAATTTTGACGTCATTAAGTTCTGATATAAGTCAAATCTGCTGAACCAAGAACCTATTATCTTCTTTATGCTGTGTGATGTTGATTTATTTCAGGCAAGTTCTGTGAAATTAAAGAAAGCTGGAACTGTAGTAATTCAACATGCATTAACGGTAAGTGTTTCCATAATTATTTTCCTTGTGAATGCAAGTTATGAATCTCTCGTTATCTAACACATCCTATTGATATCGTATGATTAATGTGTTACACGTAAGTAATCTAATGCAATATTCGCAATTGTAACGTTTCATGTGACCATAAACAATTGCACGCCCTTCTTATATTATCTAAAAAAAATATTATTGTTTAGGTGTCTGTGAGGCTAATGAATGCAAGTGTCATCGTAATTGGAGGGGAGGTAACTGTGATGTACTTTATAAATCTGGTTGTGAGTTATCTCCCTGTTTAACCAACGCAACGTGTATACCAGACATCTTATCTTTAGAAGGGTTTCGGTGTGAGTGTCCGGAATCGAATGTACCATATGATAAAAACTGCAAACCATTACCTTGTGTGTTCTCTCCTTGTTTGAATAATGGTATTTGCTATGATAATTACGATGCTTCTTTTACCTGTCAATGTGTTGGAGGATTTTCAGGAACTCATTGCGAAACTGCACAAGTTATAGGTAAGTCTTAACCCAATAATTACAATTATTCAACTATCAAACTTGGTAATCTGCGATTCTCGTTTATAGTTAGTAATGTCAGATTGTATAATGCTATCGTCGTACTAACATTACCTAATAACAGTTCGTAGTGATGTATATTTATGACGTTCTTAAAATCACTATTTAGACGACCTTTTTAGTCTCATGAAAATGAGAGTGTGAACTGTGAAAGAACATCAATAGACTTTGATTTATATTGATTCCTTTGTGGACTGACCAGTGACAACAAAGATTATTTGGGCCCAAATGGGTTCATTTAAAATCTTTTGTCCACTGGTGATATGCGATTTTCTGTTCCATTTCAGAAAACAAATTAATTTCTGGGTGTAAGAGCAACCCATGTTATTTTAATGGTATTTGTATTCATAATAATGATAATTTATATTGTAAGTGTGATGATGATCATACGGGCAAATGGTGTGAAAATAGTCTGTTTATGTCATCGACAGGTTTGCTCATTTTATCACCACTGAATTAACCATGAACCCTGAACACTGTCGAACACGGTCGATATTTGCCAAGAGTTGTTGGATACACCGCAGTGCACTCGGGGTGCATGCCCATCAGGACAATATTCCAGTTCAAATATCACGAGGCGCAGTCACTGCATCATGTGGAATGTGGATCCGAATTACTACTCCTGCTTCTTCCTAATCTCCAAATTTGGCTCCATCGGCTATTTTGTAAATATTGTAAATCAAGCGTTTTTTTACCAGTGTTTTTTTTTTACGGAAAAGCACATTTAAGAGAATTCGATTCTTTTGTCAGATCATGTCTTTAAACTTTTGGTCGATACTAATATCATACAATAAAAAGTTCAAGATGAACATAAAAGTTGAATTGCTGACAAAAGTACTAGTGAAACATATTTCCATATTTTTTGATTCAATCAGATGGTGGCTTGACAACAGAAGAAGAGACAGTTCTGATATATTCATGTTTAAGTATTTTGATAGTAATAATAATAGCTACCTGCTTCATAATCTTCTGTTATTTGATCAGAAAAAGAAGAAAATATTCGACAAAGCACAGGTATACCACTAATTCTTTAGGGAATTGCTAAGCGCATAATAGAAGTGCCAAATGATAAATATCAATAGGTGATCTTTCAACATGGGATTCCGCACTGACATATCAGTTGCAGTATGTTCAGTTGCTGGATAAGCGACGCCTAACAAGTACTTCTTGTATTAACCGCAATAAAGTAAGGTTTGAAGGTTCTGAAATTAAATTGGGTGAAGGATGTCGGCAGGAACGACATTACCGACCAAATTACAAATCAAGTAATTATACGCGAAAATATTTACCAGACGTTCTAGAAATTATACAATAATATCCCTAAAATGATGTTGTAGTCATATCGAACAATTTCTTCGCATATTCCATTTAATGTTCTTTTTTAGCAGGTTACTTCCAGTACTCAATAATGAATCCATTGGTATGAGTATTCTACATAACCCTGTGTTTACAATGGAAGACGATGATGACGATGGTGATAAAGATGTTGATGGAAGACAAAGATCGGCATCTGGTACATATGGTAAGAAGCTTTTGTTCTTGTTAATTCTTTTTTTTTTAATTTGGTTACCACACTTTAGTGTTCAATGCCCAACCCTCGGCCTTACAGTAACACACCCTCTCATGCTTCCTTACCAGTATTGCACATCCTAGGTAAATGACATGCAGTATACTCCTTTCGCTAGTCATGCTTGTCGAGGTTCTGTACAACTCTCAGATTTTTTATAACAATTAATAAGAAACGAAATAAGTCAGTATTTTCTGAAAATTCTACTTATTAGACCTTGTAAAATACTAAGTATATTATAAATAGTGGTAATGCATTTGAAGAATTCAATCAATATTTAATTTCAGAAAATCCATACGCAGAGCCTCGTGACATTCCTTATATAGATGACTTTATTGATGTCAAAAATAATCAAAGTAAAGTGAAACAGTGTAATATCGAAAAGGCAGCTGAGCGTAAGAATTCTAAGTCATCCTTCAGTTCAAATCGGTCATCAGGTAAAAGTTTGAAAAAGCACGACGGTGGATATCTGACACCAATATTTACTAAAAATCAGCTGGAAAATTCGGGTGCTTCGGAGAAAAATAGAAAAGCTCTTCTACCAGCAAGCCAGAAATCTTTCAAGGGGACTAGCGAATTAGATTTTATTCCACCAAATCCACCAGAGTATGAAAACCAGCCAAAAGATAAAGGTCCTTTAGTATCTAAGAACAAACCGATAATACAATCTGAAGATAATCCAGCGTATGTCAATGATCCATCTACCAACATTGATGATCCATGTATTCGTTTACAGAACGTTATAGATACCAAACCAACTCCAAGACCAAATATTGCTAACAGATCGGTAATTCAGGGGATCCCAGCTGAAGCTTCTAATTTACCCAGAGAAAGGGGAAACATTGATAGAGCAAATCCAATATCTCCTCCAGTAGCTTCTGAAGATTCTAGAACATATCTGAAGGTTGTTGAGCCTAAACCAGGAGAGTTTCCATCTTATAAATCTAAACACTTTGAAATTGCTCCTTGCAATAGAAAGTTGCCACCGATACCAATAGAGAAGTGAAATTTTACTGTGTATAACCTTGCATGCAAGAGGCATTCCTCAAAAACTTTGTTTTGCTTACGTAAATCGCTAAAAGAATCACTTGAAGACTATTAAGACATATGTTTCTTGTTTTCTATAAGCCTAAGAAAACGTATTCTACTGTTGGTGTTTCTGTTTTGAATCGTTTCTCATGAGCATTAATATCTTTTGCTCAGCGATATCGATAACTAGATTTCCGTCAATGGAAATTAATTTGGTAGTAATATCCGTAAGGCCCGTAGCCAGACTTGATTGTTCGGAGGAGTAAGTAATATATCCGGACGGGCAATATAGTGTGGTGTCATGTTGCCGGGATGCTTTCGCCCGGTTGAATTTTTTCGAGGGGATCTGTTTTTTCAGGGATACATTGCAGCCTTTCCCTCTATAGCTACAGGTCTGATATTTGTTGGTAAATTTTGTCTTATATCTATCATGTCTTCTGTAATGCCATTGTGTCCTTTTATTATATTTTACTTGATTTCCGGTAAACTAAACGCTGAGAGTTCATCTATCAATAATAGAGAAAATAAACATAATTATGTTATTATTTCTTATCAAAATAAAGAAATATATTATCTTTTATAAATTTAATGATTTATATGATAAATATTGTTAACAGACAGAAATATATTGACATCAGGGTCAAGATGACATACCTTGAATTTTTCTTGTATGACATTTATATCATTAGGATTTCTTCTCTTTGAAAAATAAAATACATCAAATTCTTGATTTTTAACGTCTATTAATTTTCTTCTTTGAAAATAAAGTGATCAAAAGGAGGTTATACTGCCTTTAGTTGACATGTGTATCAATGAGACTTATTGCTTTAGCATGCACCATTCAAAATTCCGGAACAGTAAATTGTTATGACCATCATCATTTTACCAAGCAGGTTATTACCGACACATAACTAATAATTTTGGGTGAACAATCTCCGTTGTATAGTTTCATAAAAAAGACCTATCATATTATCAATTCTCTATAAGATTACAAAACATCGTGTCAATCTAACAAGCTGGGTGCATTTTTCTATGCTAAGAATGTCAAAATACAATTTTTGTAATTTATATACGCGGAAACCCATTACAATGAATAGCAGAAAAACTATGTTCTTATCATTAAAAAAATCAGAACAAATGGCAATAGTGATAAGAATAAGTTTCTTTTTAAACAGATGCGCCATTTTGGAGGGTTAATTTGAGTCTTGGGTATATATAAATAGACTTCTGAAGTACTAGAAATGTAGGAAAGTCGCAAAGTTCGTCCAAAAATACCTCAAACTAGGAATTTCTTATTTCTGTTAATTTTCAAAAGCAAATAATTCTGTACAGAGGTTTGATTGGTCACACATATGGCGCATATGTTCCTTTAAGATTAGAACCGAAGGTACATCAAATATTGCATAAAAACCTGGAGGACATTTTGCAAGTATAAAGTTTTAGAACAGTGCACAGATTACACACATAATGTCTAAAAAACACATAGAAAAGTATCCACATGGTCGTCAAAATATTCGTTATAAATTAAAAAGCACTATGTTAACGTTTTAATATCTGAATATATCTTTGTTATATCTGAAAGGAAAATAGATCCAAAAAGTGCCACGAATAAAATAATCCCTATGTACCCTATATTTTGAGCGGATGGTCTATTGTCGGTGGCTGACTGTTTTTTACGTCTTGTGGATGATAATTCTGCATTGTTCACTTTTAAATCTTTTCTAACTTGTTTCATTTCTTCTTCAATAGCTGTCATGTTTCTCTTTCCACAAGCATCGCAGACACAAAACTCAGATTTTGCCGCCTCTTCTGTCTGAAATCAACATAAATGTTGTTGAAATTTCCAGCCAACGAAGTAATAAAAAAGCACAGATTTCATGAACATGTACATATTCTCATAAAGAAATAATTTTAAACTTTAAACAGCAAAAGTTTAATTCAAATTTTACTTATGACAATTTTGGTGTACATGTTCAAAACCTTTCATACAATGAAGAGATCTATAAATTGATATTGGACATCAATTACAAAATAGATATTAGGAATTAAGAAACTTAGATTTTGATCGGTCTTCCGTATTTCACTTTTCTTTTTATTTATTTCTGATGATTATATCCCATTAGTTTGACTTCGTATTAGTTAGTCAGTCGTCAGGTATAATGAATCAGTCCATATTAGATTAGAGTACTTAGTACCAAGGAGTATATAGAGTTGTTAGGTGAATTACTGATTAGGGTGTAAAATGAACATTTAAAAGAGTTAACTCTATCTTTCGACATCTGTCTATTTGTCATCCATTTTCCATCACATTTTTCTTTAATGTATCAAAATCTGTGATGCATACAATACTTAGCAATTCTTATTTCTTACATTTTATTATTCCACTAGTTTCAATGGTTGCGTTGGGAATTTTAACCGATGGTTAGCTTATTATACCCGAGCTAATTACCAAACATGTGTTGACAAAATTATCTAAATAATGTACTATGACCGACATGGAAGTTAAGTTTAAACAATAATCAAAAAGCATCCCATTAAACTAGTTTTTTATTATCTTTAACAATCAAGACAAAAACATGAGTATAAGTATTTCATGGCCTGCCAACAATGACAATCAAGTTGTAGACAATAATCGTTTATTAATTCTATATTTACTTTGATTACGTATACGGTCCGTAGCCAGACTTAATTGTTCGAGGACAGCTAATATTCGGAGGGGTCAGGGGGTGTTTGTGGATCGTGGAGGTAATCCAAGTTAACCTCTCTTGTTCTTGGAACACAGCTAATATTATGTGATATAAATAGTCCATTTGGTATGAGGATATTGAATATTGATTTGTCCATATATGAAATTAAACAAAACTTTATGAGATTTTGATCATTCTTTCCGATTCCAATTGCCTTACACCCTGAAGATCGACGTGGGCGAAGAGTTGATATAAAAAAAAAAGCTAGCTGCTGCAATCAACAGGATGGTCGTAAATTGAAAGATCGAAACTCATTTAATGAAGTACCCATGTGGTAAATGACAAACGTTCATAATCCAGATACAAATATGAACAGTTCAAGTAAATAATCATGCATGAAATAGAATTTAACAATTTTCTAAATCATGCTGATTATAGCAGACGAAAAAGATCAATCAAAAATTATAGATTAATGTCATAAAAATGGCATTTCCCTGATCTTTTTATGGCATCATGCAACACGTCAACATTGCTTCTATTGTCACAAAGACTGGAATTAAAAAATGTAAAGACAATTCAGGAACAGAGATGTCTTCTTAAAAAAACGTTTAAGAGTTTCCGACGAGTTAGCCTAAATCTGTCCAAATGCCCACACATCATAACGATGACCAGTTATTGTTGCGAATAACGAGAGTTGCTAAAGTTCATGTTGGAACAATTACGAGGCTTTATCTCCTAAAGAAAATAAACATAGAACAAACCACTCTTACCGTTCCTATTGACCACGGTGAGGTGTTCGGAGATTGTGATTCGAGATTAGGTTCTGTTGTGTTGTATACTGTAGTTTGAGATCTGGTTGCAGTGGTCGCAGTTCTAGATAGTTCTGTAGTTGCATCGCTCGAAGTTGAAGTGGCCGTGTTTAAAGTTGTAGTTGGTGAAGTAGTATTAGATGACTCTCCTATAGCCAGAGATTGCGCGATTGAAGTCGTTTGTGATGTAGCTCTTGTTGTGGACGTAGTTGAATTTCTAGATTGGGTGATTGAAGATGAGAGTTGTGCTGTGGTGGTTGAATTCCTAGGAACAGTAGCATATTGAGTGGTTGTATTCGAAGTCGTGGCTTGGTCAGTTGTATTAGAAGTCCTAGTTGTTGATTTGGTTGTAGGTTGGAAAGTGATGGATGAAGTCGTAAGTTGTGTAGCCGTTGTTGTCTTAGATTCGGATGTGGTGGATGAAGTCGTGGTTTGTATAGCTGTTGTTGTAGTTACAGGTTTGGTGGTTGTTCTTGCACTTGAAGTCGCAGGATGGGTAGTTGTTGTGGATTCAGTAGATTCGGTAGTTGTGGCTATAGAATTTAGGTCGTAGATAGTGCAAGTCCGGACCTTAGGCGAACTAAACACCTGGGCTACTGTTACATCCTCCGTATACACTCGAACTGTCAAGAGATAATTATATACTATATTTTAGTGTTACTTTATGCATAGTTGGAAGAAATCGGTGTGAGCCTTGTAAGTCCGTTTCTAAATCATATTTGATCTGATGACTCAGTTGGTGAAAAAGGGTTAAAACCTATAAAACAATTGCCTTCAAAGGTGCCAGGTTAGGATTGTCTCACATTGCCCATATCACAATTAAGAATTTGCGAAGTAACCTTCAGAAGAAGGAAACAAATGACTAGAACTGTGTATCATTGTGAACAGTTGCAATGGTTACCCAATACATCTCTAGTCATTTTCTGTGATAAGTGTAGGGAAATATGATATTTACTAGATCAAACATGATATTGATTTCAATCCTTGTTCCAATCCGGGCCACTTTTTATCCCTTCTCCAGACTGGCGCACAGGACAACAGACTTCTTTAATACAAATCATAGGCATTGGTTTATTTCCGTTTCGGAATACCTTGAGAGCAAGCTAGTTTCGCCGATCTGTTTGATTTCCGGCAAAGATGATGGCTGCAAGTGAGCTCTGCACATTTGGGATTCAATAAAGCACGTTTGAACAGGGTTTCAGAACAGGTTCCACTTGTTCCAAGAAAATAGTACGAGAAGGAAATAAATGGGAACATTTTAAATGTGACATGTCCGCTTCCGTCCCGTTTGATTGAGGCCAGTATTGGAACAGACGGAACCTGTTCAGAACCCCCCAATCGAGCGCCAGTTCATAAATAAAAAAAATCGATCATGTTAGTGTGTATGAATAAAAGACTTTAAATCTATACTTACATGAATAACATCTTCGTAAATGCACACTAATTGTTCCTCCACTTTTTTCACAGAAATATGGGTCGCTGGAATGGTACAGGACACACAATTTTGAGAAATGATAGGCGTAACATTTCTTTCCATTTTTTATCTCCTTTTCACATAAATATTGACAATTCTCTCTGGTTTGTTTGTCAATTATTTGTTTATCTTCATATGCAGTCGGACAGTCTCGAATGTTTTTTTCATATGTACAATCACCTAAATGAAATATTTAATTTATTTAAATAAATATTTCCCCGATCTTAATAATGATGTATAAAAGTATCTTCAGATCATGGATAGTAACTGAAGTAATCTATACATCACAACTAGAACTGCACTTGTCAATTCTACCTGGTGGCAGTGCCAGCCTCCCGAGACTTGAGGTTACAAATAGGGGACAGACTGACTCGATAGTTTGCGATATCAGCATCCGCTGGAAGCCAACGTTAACTTGTCATCTATTAACCAACCAACTCAGTGTGGTAACTCCTCGGAAGTGTCATAGTCACAAGCCTCTGAAGGAGCGTCTTAGAGGGTTCTCCCAAGAAAACTTTCTAAAAATTAAATTGATTTGGTGCATTTTGACAATTTTTTTATTGCAAAAACATGCCAGTACCATATTTTTAAATTTGTTAAAAATGAAGTGGGGGTACAATTTTCCAAGGATGCAACATCCACCGAAATGGAGTCACCACTGATTCTTAACTAGCAAATGAAAACAAAAACAACTATTTTTCTACGCAAAGATACAGCAGTTTGAAACAAAATATTTCTAGAATAATATTTAACTTAAACTATGGCATGTAAAAATTTCCATTTAATTACCGTCAAGAGTGTATTACTAAAAATTGTTGATTACCAATCGATCATATGAGTATTTTACATTCGTTGGAATATTATTGATTGCCATTAAAAAACATTTACATTATAAAGTGTTTTCAAGTGGTCTGCACGACAATTTGTAAAAAATTTATAATGACATAGGGTTTATTGTTATAACTGTTTGAGGACAGGGTCTTGGACTGGCCCATTGGTAAGTTCTTATTTAAAACTCAACTTTGCAAAAACGTCACAGTTCTTGTGACGTATTCTTGATATGGTGTTAAATCAACAAAAATAAACAACATATTTTAGGGAATTAATAACAACGAACCCTTTGGTATGTCACAAATGAAACTACTTTCCTGGGAACAGTCTTCTCTGTACCAGAGGCGAGTGTCTTTCTTGACGAGAATACATTGTTTATGACTTTCTTGTTTGAATCCATTGTCCCAATTACTCCACGACAATGGTTGACAATCAGCAAATTTAAAATCGGACTCCCATCGAGCATTAGGATCGTCTGTGTTTAAACCTATCCAAAAATCGTCATTCCTACAATAAATATAAAGGATATCATTATCACCAACTTAAGATATATTACCGCCACCAGACCAACACTATATTTTGATTAGTCGAGGATTTAGTTCTCAACCAATGATATTCATCAATACAATTGGCGGGACAGTGGAAAACCTGATTTAGGGCTCATAAAAGTGTAATTTTAAAATACAAGTTATATCTCTACTGCCAGCAAAGTTAAAAGTTTAATTTTTTTTTTAGGTTTTTTTTAATTGAATTGGAAAAACAGCCTCCAAATAGTACTTTTGTTCTTAGAATGTCTTTGCGTTGATAAGATGATAATTGTTTGTAAGTTTACATTTAAGAGAAACATTTTTCTCTCCTCATCCCATAAAAGTTCCAAATTTTGGCTTAATATTGTCAAATCAAGTGCTCATGTTTATATTTTTATCAAAGCAAATACACTGTAAGACTAACAGTACTATTTTAAGACTGCTATTCAATTTCTCATAAAAAAAAATAACGGACAAGATTAAAAAAACAAAGCTTTTTACTTTTCTCAGACAATAGAGCTTTATTTCCTGTAAAAATATGAAATGTTGAACGAGAGTTTGAACGACAGAAGCTATAAGATAGTAAGAAGCTAGTTAAAAATTATTTCTTACGGGTCTTTGTTCATTAATCTCTCCAGCGCTAAATCTTCTTCTTTTGAATACAGTTTTAATAATTGACCTCCGTCCTGTTTACATTTTACATAAGCATCATTCCATGATGTTTTTTGGGTATACAATACAAATTCTCGAAGTAAACAATACGATACATCTGAGCAAAAGAAACAAATTATGATAAAAAGAGGTTTTAGGCGCTAATATACATGCTAGGGCGTCACACGTATCGCAACAAATTAATTAAATAATAAAAACAAAACTATTTACTAGGAAGTTACATAAATAAACTAACGATCCGAAATGCAAACAACATATTGGCGAAACATTGATAGCAGCTAATGAACTTTTAACATGAGGAAGTATATCAATCATAGGTGAGTATGTAAATGTGGTATAAGATGTCTACAGATCTACAAATCTTAGAATATTAGACCTGAAATATTTAGAATTCAGTTGTTATGAAATATTAATATCGTTCAGTTATTCCCTTAAATATACTCATGGTTATTAATCGCTGTAAAAGTTTCCTTATCTGACCGTATCTGTAGATAATGCCATGATGTCGGAAAGGCGTACTAACTTCAAAACACAAAAGCGAGTCACGAAAAGTGTCTTTGGGATTGTTGCATAGAGCCCAGAGTGAAATAATTTTGAATCAAAACATATTATCCCACATATTTTAAAAATCGGTCCGATATAAATTGACATCTAAATATCCAATGCGTTCAAAATTAGGACCGATTGATATCAGATTTTGTTTTGTCATATTCGTTTTGACAACTGTAATCCCAATTTGTAGAATCAGTCTAGAAATACTGTTAAATATCTGTAAAGTCTTACCTGTCATAAAGAAAAGTAAAAATACAAGCAATGGAGCTGCACAAATCCGTAACATACTTTAAAAAAATGTTGTCTTCAAGTGATTACATTAAAAGTTCGTTTAGAAAATAACGTAGTTCAAGATTGAGTTTAATGGCATGAAAAAAGAAAACAATTAATCACTAATGTAGAAAAATTCTCTTCAATCCAATCGTTTGAAAAATAGAAAAAACAACAATAGACCCATGTCTTTGTATATAAAAAACAAACCTCGTTCAATTATTCAGGTCAGATTCCTCGCTTCTTCGAAACGACAGCGACTTGTGTCCTTTGATCGTGATTCAATGAATTCGCATGGCAGAAGTAAAATTCAAACATTATTTTTACTCACTTTAATTTTCTTTCTTGCAAAGTTGATAAGCACAGAACTCTACTAGGTACTAAGATTTCTGTTCAATTCACGAGTTAATTTAAAGTGGTGTTTATAGCCCAACAAATGTGGCCCTTTCTGTTCCTCGGACGTGATATACGGATGGAGAATTTTCACCATGACAAAAGCCAAATTTGGCATAACTTTTGGAATCTGTACTAAACATTTTATGCCATTGTGTTGATATCCCATGCGTATATCGCGCTCGAGGAACGAGTAGGATTAGATTCGCCTGACCATTGTGTTTGAAGCACTGTTACTTATCTTAAAATCATGTTGGTAAGCAATTAATTATTAAACATCGACCATGAATCACTTGTTGTTAAACTTCTACTTTTCTACGTCTGTGTGCAGTTTGCAGATATCATTGAATGTAAAATCATTGCATCTTAAGGAAAGTTCTTCCTCATCGGATATTTTTCAAACGCTTTACTTTTGTGTAAAAACAAACTTTATTTACAGATGTTAATTAAAGAACAAACTTTTGTCAGTTATGTACAGTGCTCTCTCCTTAAAAAAACAATATAATAAATATAATGTAAATATTCAATTATGCTCCTTTCTACATATATATAAATTTAAGGTGATAAAGCGTTCGAAGATTCACTCAAAACCGACAGCTTAAAGTTAAAATGGATGTACTTGTGCCAAATAAAAGGGGTTTTAGTAAAAGGTTTATGGATTGGTTTCGTGCATGAAAATACAATTTACAATCAGTGGATAAATGTTGGTTAGCTTCTTATTAATGGCAAAACTACAAACGGATGTGATAGCTGATATTTGCTTATATCCTTAAATGTCCACGAGAGATGGAGGCGGCAGTGAAGAATTTATTTTTCAAGTGCCAAGCGAGAATGAACTTTTTCTCAGTAGGTATTAAAAGAAATTTCAGCTTGTGACAAAGAACAGCATGCCAATTTTCGTTTCGTTTTTTTTTTTAATTTTTTGTGACGATCGTACTCTTCAACATTTGTCGAATTAACCTTTTGACCCAGCGTGATTAAACCAATCAAATTTACGCCTTCTCCAGCTTTGGCGTTTGTGGGAGATTGGAGGAATTTGATTAGTTAAAGTAGATGTCATCAGATTAGGTCAAAAGGTTATTTTGACGAATGTCAACATCAAGGATGTATACATAAAATTGTAGTAGAGTTCCATAAGCATTGGACATTTCCCAGTATTCGTATAGTATGAAATGCATATATATATATATTAATAAAATGTTGTAGTTATAAAATAATCAAGGTAACGAAAGCTTATCAAACATCTTCCTTAAAATAATAACTAACTTATATTAAAAAAAATCCTCTAGAGGTGTGAATTAATGAAAGTTGAATTTTGTAAAATCAGAAGTGATTTTTTAAGCAGAAACGAAGCATGACTGAAGCCTCAAGTAAAATACAATGTTAGATTTAATGACTTGAAACATCACTGATTTCACATTTTCAAGCAAGCACATCTTACATCTGACATTGAATACTTCGGAAGATTACATTAATATATTGCAAAAGTGTTCAAGAAGCTATCGAAAAATCCACCTTATATCGGTATAAATCTTATGAATGTCTGAAAAACAAAGAGCTCCAAATATTCCCACTATCATGAACACTCCTATGTACCCTATATTTTGAGCAGAAGGTCTCTCGTCTGCGGCTGATTCTTTTTTACGTCTGGTAGATGATAATTTTGCGTTGTTCACTTTTAAATAGTTCATTACTTGTTTCATTTCTTCTTGAATTGATGTGAGATTTCTTGTACCACAAATATCACATATACATTGCCTTGTATCTGTCGATGTTTCCTGAAACATTGATGTATAGAGCATGTTTTGAATATCTAAAAGGGGTTTGTAAGGGGCTTGCGTGCGAATCTAGACGGGGTTGGAGTTCGATCTCAACTTAATCGGGATAACTACATTTAACTGCACTTTTACTCTCGTTTCCTGCATCAGTTACACAGGTCAAGTGAAGGGTGGCTGAAATGGAAGCCTTCTGGTCATTCAGGTGGGACAATAAACCCATGCCCAATGGATATCGGAAAGCGAGAAAGAGAAAGCGGCATATTGCTTCCATGCAAATGACCTCTCAAGTATTGTGTATGGCACTGATCGCCACCAGTATCATTTCAATATCTAAAAGCACGTTCAAGCAAGTGCAATATAGTCACTTCAAATAAAAAAAAAGTACCTAATATCCCAGAGCCAGTGCTGACTGGGACATAAGTTATAAAAACATAATATAAAAATAATCTTTTAAACTTAAGCTACATTTTCTGTAATTTAAATATTATGATTACCTGTGATGTTTGGGTGCTTTGAATAAACGAGGATGTTGCCACAACAAAGCTTGTGCTAGTAGTTGGGGGTAAATTAGTGGTTGTCGTTGATGGTGGTTTAGTTGTGGTGCTTGATAGTGAATTGGTTGTAGGTATTGTAATTGGTGGCTGAGTCGGGCTGGTAGTAACCGTAGCATTCGCTGATGTTGTGGTTGTAGTTGGCGATGGGGTGGTTGTTGTCGTTAAGCTTGTGGTAGTAGGACTAGTAGGTGGTGGTAAGGTAGTGGCCGTAGTATTTGGTGAAGTAGTGGTTGTTGTTGTTGGTACTGTGGTTGTTGTAGTACGTTCAGCCGTAGTGGTTGGCGGCTGAGTCGTGGTCGAGGGTGTAGTCGTAGTGGTTGGTTGTTCAGTTGTAGTCGTAGTGGTTGGTTGTTCAGTTGTAGTAGTTGGTGGTTGAGTCGTAGTTGTTGGCGATTGAGTTGTAGTAGTAGTTGTTGTTGTGGTAGGCGGTACATAACTCGTACAAGTTCGTGCATTCGGGCCAGCCTTTGTATTCGCAGATAAAGGTTTCTGGTTACTCGTTTCATCTAAAGAGAATTGGATGTCAAAAAAGTTACAAAATAATCAACCTAATTGAGCACATAATACCAAGAAATAGACTTAATTTTAGCAATATTTCTTAGACAAGTACCCATTTTCCGAAAGTAGTATGAATTCAGAAAATGTACGTATAGTCCATTTCATATGGGTCCCTCACACCATAGCGTTCCGGTCAACGTTCTCTGAACGTTCTAATTGTTCAAACATCTGGCGTCTGATTAACGTGTGCCTAACGCATGACTAGCGTAGCACGAGAAGCGTAAACAGCGACCAAGCAAGATTAGCGTGTGCTAACGTGCCACTGGCGCGCGACGAACGATTTGTCAACGTGTGAATAACGACAGAATGGCGTCTTGCTGGCGTGTTAATTTTAGTCACACGCTGCGTGCGCCAGGGGACCGTTAAACGGTTCCACGAACGTTCTTAAACGTTATTCAGCGTTTAAAATTAAACGTTGAAGAACGCTGGTCTCAGTGAGAACTTTTGTGCATGTTCGAAACTTTTTTTCCTGACCAGCGTTCTCACTAGCGTTCACACAACGCTCTTCTGGCGCTAGCCCAGCGACCGGGAACTACCAACGTTTCCTCAAACGTCATAGAACGCTGACCAGAACGTCATGGTGTGACGGCCCCATAAAGCTTCGTTAGTGTAAGGATAATCGAAGGCAACAGATGTTCAGTTTAGTACTATTCTCGGTAAATCGTGTATTGATTCATGTAGAAGTCTAGGGAGTTGGTTCCTTTTAAAAATTGCCCTGATCGGTAAATGTCAAGATTGCTATTTTTGTGAAATTATCAAATTTTACACAATTTCCATTCTAACATCAAAACTTTTAATTCGTTTCGTTGGCTTAAATGCATCCCTTTACAAGTTTTATATTCTTATTCCTGTGCAATACTACTGAACTAGAGCTTCCTTCTTTAACTTACACGAGTAACACCTTCGTAGATGAGTATTTGTGTTTCCTGATGCATTATCACAGAAATATGGATTCGTTGAAAAATATAGCACGCAGTTTGAATCTAGACTATATGCAAAACAGTGTTTGCTATTCATAATTTCAGTGTCACATTTTTCACGACATTCACTGCCACTATTGGACACAAATGGTTGTGTTACTCCTCCAGAACTTACACAATCTGAGTTTACAGATTCATATGTGCATGGACCTGAAAAGAAAGAAGATTACTTTTCGTCTTCCTGTTCAAAGAGTATAATGCATAGAATTCAGAGAAAATTTAATTGAGAATTGCAAAGAAGAAATTATTTTATCTTCATCAAATGCCAATTGTTTTTTTTTTATATCATTCTTTATAATATATTTCTATAGCGAACGTTTGAAAATGGCGTTGCTCCGACTAATGCTGTATTGTTATGTTAATTTCTCATGGGACGTTTCGTTTAATGTTGAATGTTCAAGAGTTATTACCCTTGGCGTACACAATATGTGTACAGCTTTTTATGTTTTTTATCGCATTCGCTTGACGTGTTTTTAACAGCTTGGCATTCCGTTTTAAACCAATTCATTGTTTTTGTTACTAAAATATACAAACTCACCCTCTAGTTTTTCGCACAGAAAATATTTTTCAGTCGAACAAACTTCTCTATACCATGTCCTTGTGTCCTTCTTTGCTACAACACAGCCCTTTTCCCCTTCGCTTTTGAAACCACCCTCCCATTTAGTCCATGATGTAGATATACTTTGACAATCAGCATACACAAAGTCATTTTCGTTGCCCGTACTCGTACTATCTGAGTTCAATCCAATCCAAAAATCTTCGCTCCTGAAATGAGTTCATTGATATTATATTTTTAGAAATATGATATTGTGTCTTGTTATAATATTAATAATAATAATATTAATCGTCATTGTATGACTTGTCATGATGATAATAATGGTCACTCAATAATAATAATAACAACCAGTGTGTGATTTGACATAATCATAATAAACAGTTGCTATATAATAATACACATAATGATAATAATAATAATGCGACATTATTCCAACTTACGGACCACCCCCGAGCCACTTATCGAGAGCTTTATCATCTTCTATGGAATAGTATTTCATAAGTTGTCCACCATCAGCAACACATTGTGCATATGCTTCATTCCATGTTGCTTTGATTTTATGCATCACTAGTATTCGCCTAGACAAAGACATGGAATAATCTGAAATCATGAAATTAAATCAATTATTATATTTGAACCTTCTCTGCTCACAGTGTTGTTGACTCTAAAGATTAACCACCCAACCCACCAAAATGCGATAGTAAAATCTATGATCTAATGTATAGGAAGATTACAAGATAGCTTGTCAGGCAAAGTAATGTACGCCTACTGGCATCTTTGATTTTAAATAAAAAAATATTTGGCAGTACATTAACATGACACATGACGAGCAAATGTCCGTATTCTCCAGAGACACAATTTTTTGATGGGTCATATTAAGTTTTTATTTCAAATGAATTTGTATAAGCTGTGATATTTATATATTTTTTATTTTTTTCATTTAAAAGAATTTTATAAATATAGAAGATAGCTTGCCAGGCAAGGTAATATACGCCCACTAGCAGCTTTGATTTTGAATAAAAATATTTAGCAGTACAGTAACAATCACCAGTATGAAATATTCAACTTTCAGTCATACACTTCTTTTGAATTCTTTAGGGCGATACTGAATAATATATTAAGTATCGCCCTAAAGAATTCAAAAGAAGTAATAATATATTAAGTATGAGTTATTTCCTTTGTTCTTGAAAACATGTTCAATTTTTAGCTTGTGAAAACTCTAGAAGGCAAATATTCAATCTTCAGCACGGTACTGAATAATAAAACCAAGTTTGGTCAAAATCCGGCAAGAATCAAGGCTTTTAGTGTTTAAGAGCTAAAATTTGAAAGCGTTTTCAAGAACGAGGTAAATAACTCCTATGAAACATATTTAGATTTTTTTTTAGTTTCAATAGGGATTATCCATGGGTGATAATAAACAATTTCACCAAGTTTCGTCAAAATCTGTCATGAATTGAGCCTTCTAGAATGTTTACAAGCTAAATATTGAACGCGTTTTCAAGAACAAGGGCAATAACTCATACTATTTTTCGATTTTTCTGATAGGCTTTATCCTTGGATGATAACAAACGCTCAAGCCAAGTTTCGTCAAAGAATTGTGTCTTGTAGAGTGTTTACGAGGAATTGTGGACGGACCGACAGACCGAAGGACGGACGAACGGACGGATATGGGTGACGACAATATACGCCCCCCATTTCAAGTGGGCGTATAAAAAGGATACGCAGTTAAAACTACATGGTCTCCGTCTAAGGTATTATTTTAACAAAGCGGTGTACATAGTGATCTAAGCACAATCAAACAAAGTCTTATGTTGTCAATCAGTGCAAAATTGTCCGATCATCGTTAAAATCGACATGCATCATCTTTTATCTGCTGGGTTTTGCAGCAACATTTTCCTGGGAAATAATGTAATGTACAAAATTGTCACTCATGGCGCCCAAACATTTTTTTTTATCATTTAAGGGAGGTAACTTGAACGAACATATCGATTCATTTTTAGATTATTTTATTATAACTATCAATAACTGCGAGAAAAATATATGATTAAATGCTCATAAAGGACTTATCATAATCCTCATTGATATATTAAATACTAGGCCTTGACAATATTGATCGAGAATTTTTATTCTTTGAGACCTAATAGCTTTCTTTCTTACGTTGTTAATTGAAAACAAAATCCTTTACATCGACATTAACCTACTTTTGTTTTATTTCCAACTGTCGGGGAATCTCACATGCACAATCTTTGTCACAAGGGTCTGGAACCACGAAGATGGGAAAATGCTTTGGCTTGTTATTTAAAAAATATTCGACAAGTGAAATAATATTTTATAATGGGATTAAAAGCTTCTCTTCTGTCCCACGGTTCAGATAGCTCGATTGTGGCAAATCAGTCTAAAACAACTTGGCCAAATATGACTTGAGGACGATATTGAATTTAACCTTACTCCATTGTTTATTTTCTAAAATCAAATATTGAGCCCTCTAGCAGTTCCGTCAAAAAGTTTGAATGGTCGAATCTTATTGGACGAAAAAGGTTTTCTATGGAATAGCTACCATGTACCATAAAACCGACGATTTACTCTGCGTCAGCCTTAATGTCGCTTGCTCGCTATTTCGATCTCAAGATGTGAAATGTATATTACCTCCAAAAATGACTTAAAATTGAAAATTTTAAATTTAACCAAAATTAGTTTTTGTTCATCAGTTGACTTACCTGGTGTCATAACTATACAACAGAATCCTTCTATTTTACAATAAATCCATAACACTAAGTAATAATTCATTAAACTAAGTAATTTTGAAACATGTTTAGAAGAGTGTTTCAATAAATATTTAGTTTAATGGATATATTGTCTTATATAGAGATTCTATTCTTTAGTCAGGCAGCTGGAAAGTTCAACTGATGAATATATATGAAAATGAAAAATAAAAAATACAACAATTACCCGCAAATTGTAAAGATATAACAAGTATTCCAATCAAATAGAACATATAATCCATCATGAATTTTTTTAAATCCAGCAAGTGATACACATGGTTTGAAACTTTTCTAGACGAATGGTATACAAAGTTAAAAAATCGTATCCTTATTTAATCATGTAATAGCAACTAGATTATGGTAACAGCCAATAGGGAGTAAAGTAAACCAAATGATCTACAACGCTATGTGGTACCCATAAATAATATTGATCACTGCTTCGCCTAACTACGCCAATAACCTCCAGTAATTTAAATGGTATATAATTTCAACATTTATGCTTTCATCCAATCCAATAAATTGTCAGAACTGAACCCCGGTTGCCTCTCAGGTATTTCATTTAACTATTAAACACGGCTGGATGCAATCTATCAAATTATGTATTGATCAAAAATATCTTGACATATTAAGTGTCGATTAAAGCGTACTTGATACCGTGAACAATATAAATTAAATACTAAATAAAAGATAAGATAATGAAGATAAATTGTTACGTCCAACGTTTCTGATCTCATTAAGGAAATTTCAAGGTATTCGTATAATGTTTTCTAACCATGAAAAAATATCGAGGTTTGTTGCGGCCGCCCATGTTCATTCATCTACAAGAAGCACAAGAAGCTGCGGTGTTCATCCGATCACAAATTAGCTTTATATGTACTTTCTATATTGATGAGAATTTGAACTGGTTTAAATCACTATCAACAAGTTAATGGTGTGTATGGGGGATCTGAATGTTATCATTAAATTTGTGAGGGCGAGAAACCTTTGTGACAAATCCGTGAAAGCTGAAAATACATCTGGGGAATAGGAGTTGCATAAATTAACCGAGTACTAATGAAATCAGTAACAACATATTGACGAAATATTGGTAGCATTAAATCTCCTCATTTAAGTCCGGCGCACACACGATCCATCAGATCGGCAGAATTTATTCTGTTCTGATGGCTCGTGACAGTACAGTAACTGTATGAACTATTCAACCTTCAGACATACACTTCTTTTGAACTGAATAATATTACTAATTAATGTGATAACAAACTCTCACACCAAGTTTTGTCTAAATCTGCCTTCTAGAGTTTTTACAAGCTAAAAATTGAACACGTTTTCAAGAACAAGGGCAATAACTCGTACTAAATATTTTCGATTATTCTGATTTTAAATTGGGGTCATCCTTTGTTGGTTACGAACACTCGTACCAAGTTTCGTCAAAATCAGTCAAGAATTGTGCATTATAGAGTGCTAACGATCAATTTTGGACCGGCGGACGGACATTGGTGACAATATACGCCCCCAATTCACGTGGGCGTATAAAGAAAGGCTACAGACTAGAGAGGTAGTACAGTAGATAAATCTCGAAAAGTAAAAATCGTTTATTTTCCTTTTCCGCCTTTCGAGTCGAGACAGGTTTACAATGAAACAGCTTAATTATAATATTTACTTTCTCAACATATCCGTTCTAACCACAAAGCCAAAAACTATTTTTAGGAAGTCTCATTATCTTGTATGTTATTATATGTTTATCCTGTATTGTTTTGGAATATTAAAATTTTAAGATTGATCGCCTGATTGTATTTTAATGCCTTAAATGTGATTGAAAATAACGAGCTAAAATTAATTTAAGTTTCAATCAATTCAAGAATGGTGTTGTATTTCCTTATGGTAGCCTTTGCTCCGAACGTCACCCTAGGTCATTAGTAAAAAGATACATTGTAAAACCTTTACTCCCACTGTGATCATGTTGAGTGACTTCTAATGTAATTAATGTACGAAACTGTATTTTATTGTATTATATTCCTTAAATCCTCAATGATGCAGGTAAGAGGGACTAGCATGGAAAATACGTCTAGTCGTTCGGATGGGACAATAGTGCGGTCCCGAGTACAGGTTGTGCGTGTGAGATCCTTCGACAGATGAAAGTCAAATAAGAGTAATGCCGCTCTCCTAGCAAAATCTTTCCCATTGCACTGTATGGGGTTTTCCATCTTCATAAGATGTATAAAAAAGGAGGTGAAACTCTATCTTTCCTATCTTGCAAGTATTTGTAGAATATATTGGAAGGGTTGCATCCAGAATTGATCACATGTTTAAATATAACCATCATGTCTTTACTTGTGAGGTAGACACTTCATGACACATAATACATATAAAATCATATTTTTGAAACCGCATCTCAATTTGTTCAAAAGGGTCGTGTAATGTATGTTGGAAAATAATGTGTCCCTTTAATCCTCTAAGGAAATGTATTCTTACTAAATTAATTTACTAATTTAAATTTTCTTGAAATTGGTACAGTGCAATAGAAACTAAGTGTCTCCATAACAGATTACATATGGCAAATTCCTTGGAAACTTATAACAGGGACTGTGGAGATAAAGGGCTGCTGCACTAACTGAACTGACTTGTCAATTTATCCTATTTATATATTTTGTTAAGATTATTGAGTTTATGTAGAGTCGATATTATTGGTCCACAATTTCCTAATGACATTCATTAATTAATTATAACATAAACAGCACTTATACCTATATTTCTAGTATGTTAATTGTCTTGTGTTATTGAACAGAATTGGCAGTGGTCCTGTTGCGTACTTAAAGGGGTTGTAAAGAGGTATTCTAAATATTTCATGTACATCGGGGACGCTAATATCATCAATTTGCACCATCCCAATTGACGAATTCAATATATCTATTGAATTTAGAAAGTTAAATATAAGATATAAATATAAATATAATATAAGTTGGGCTTTCAGACGAACCAATCTCATGTATTTAGTGATAGTTCTCTGAATGTATTATTTACTATTCTATTGAACGTCTTGCCAAATACTATTGTTCAGAAATATCTGTAAGCCTTTTATTGTTGTATTGATCATTCTTTGTTAATTTCCAGACCAAGAACAGGAAAATAATTTAAAAACCGTTTAATGGGTTTTAAAGCTCTGTAAAATATAAGTTTGAAAAATTACATCGTCCTTTCTTTTCTCAAAAGAATCAGTATTTGGTTCCGAAAGGCTATCCTTGCAGTAAAGTGTCTACACAACATAGCGATTACTAGTTGAGTATGGTTGCGAATAATGAAAGCGGTTATGAGATCTTAACGCAACTCACAACTGGTGATCGCTCTGGTGTGAGAGGACCTTAAGAGCTATAGAAGGTGTGTTGTTAATTTATTGCACAGAACTTAATTGGGTTGGAAGAGATAATGCTGGTATAAATAAGGAAATTTTCTATATTTTCGCCGATCATTCCAACTCCCATCTACATGACATTTCTCATTTCATGTTTTGTTTGTATCCTTTGAACACATACGATTTGATCTGCCAGTGTAGTGACAGTTCTGCATAGCTGTTTGCGTGGGTCTTAGCACCGCAAACTGTATCATAGACATAAACATTTATATATTCGGTTTGGGCATTTCAAACATAAAGGTTGTTCGAGATTTTATTTAATAAATAGTACTGATGAGGTAACCCATAAATGTGCTCCAGCCCCCATGTACATAATGACCATTACCATAGAACACATTGACTGTTACTTCATCTCTTTCCTTCAGGTTTAACAAAATACTATTAGATCCTGAACCACGGCTCAGAAAGGCACCTGAAAACATCCGACCAACCTCTTCACCATTCAAAACAAACATGGTCTCTATTGTAGCATTAAAACCAGACAATATGGTCGATGAAAAGTGGTAAACACCATTAAAAGGTGCAGTAAATATACCGGTCAATGGATCATAAGCATTTCCATTGTTCACAGTTACTTCATCAAACACTATAGTTTCTGTTGGACCCAAGAAGGCTTTATTGGTTCTTGTTCGAGCAGCAAATGCTACATGCTGTCCAAATCCAGGACCTAGAATAAATATATCGATCAAATTAACACCATGAGCTATATGGAGAACGAGATGGAATGGCGAGTTGAACAATTTCGTCATTCAAGGAATGTCGATGAAACCACCGATTTGAGAAATGATATGAAAAAAGGTTATAACGAACACCACGCAATTTGCAATGTGGGGATTTTAGCCGTTGACCTTTAACCTTCCGCGTCATTCCAATAGACCTGTATCATCTTGCAACGCATTGGAAGGGACAGATAGAATGAGCAATTAAAACATCTTACCAAAAGCTTGTTCAGCAGGTTCTCTTTTCCGAAAATCGTTATCTCTTACTGTAGTTCTTAAATTATAAACCACATTGCTGAGATCAGTTAACTTTGTATGGAATTTTTCCAGAGTTGTATGTTCCGAGCGTAATTTTGCATTTAGGATCTGAATTTCATTTTGACACAAGCAAGTCCTCACAGATTCTGATACAAACTCTGCTTGTAATGGTTCTCTTGGTTGATAGTTAGTTGGTGATGATCCAGGAGTTAATGACGCACCAGGTACCGCCGGAAATGGAAAAGCTGGCCACATAGCTGCAGTCCTTCCGATAAAGCACACCGTTAATAGAAACAACATTTTCGTACTTTATGATTGATTACAATGCGAGCTTACCGAACGTATGACAAATGCATTAATCTCTTCAGAACTGTTGTCGTTTTAAATGTCATTTCTAAGAACATGTCTTGAAATATATACTTCAAATGATAATCCAGAGATTTGGATAAAACGTGCGTTGACAGAGAGGTCGTTTTGGAGATCAGATGCGGAAGTAGTAACATGATAACCATTGTGTCAAAAGAACACAATGCGGTAATCTGAAATCGAGAAGATTCAACAACAATGTAGTCTGAACTTGCTGACCCTTTTTCTTTCAGTCATGAAAACCCTATGAGACTCCGACAAATTCAATTTTGGAGGATGTTCAGTCTTCCCAAGGCTACGGTAGCATCGATATGTATTATCCTGTGTTTAGCTCTTTATGCTTAATTTTGAGTTCAATTTTAAATGTGTCTTTGTTTAAGCACAAAAGAAAAATTGTACGATAAATATTGATCGATGTTATTCTCTGAATAGAAGTTTAATTTGAAGGCTATCCTTGCTTTTAATAGCCATAAAGCCATGCGACAGACCATGGGATTAAACCAAATTGTTTAAATGGGAATGGTTGTTTTTGTGTTTTCTCTTTTGTTTTCTGTCTTTAATCTATTAGAATATGTATATTTCACGTCATTTTAATCTGGACCTTGACATTATATAGATCTTCTTTTTTTTTTAAAAAAAAAAGACCCGATGACCTTATAAAGGATCTAAAGTAGACGTGTTTCCAGAAAATCCTTTAATGAGATAAAAAGTTTACATTATTGATAGAAATTTGAAATATTGATATACCTTTATTCTTTTTATTTAATGGATCAGTTGTCTGGAGATCGCACAGCGTGAAACTCTTGAGCGAAATATATTGCAGGTTCTGAATTTCTAGTGTTGATTCAATTATAATTTATTGTTCTTAATAGATATACAATAACTTGCAAATTTATTCTTCGATTTTCGAAATTGTTTACAATAACATTTTGTTAGAATTCTGTTACACACTATGATATATATTAAACAATACCATGAAAATTTGCGCGCACTGTTATTTAAAAATATTTTTTATACTTTTGAGTTTGCAATTACTTAACTAAAAAAATATTTTATAGAGAATAACATTTCTCTGTTTTTGCTATTGAACGGAAAACATAAAAGAAACGTTATGTTTCACATCTCTATTGTCGTTAATAAATGCTATTTGTTTACTGCTCTAGTAGATAATGGTATTCCACATTTTTTTTAAATGTAGCTCAATCGCTCCGGGGAGACTTAATTGATGTCAAAACTATTCTTTATAAGGTTAAAAGTAAGATCATTTAATCAAATGTTGATGTTATAAAGATCAAATAATACATCACTAAAGCGACATGAAATCAATATTCTGTAGGCGATTACACGGTTTTTAAACATTGTATTGTAATATTTATGGACAAATTCATACCCCAGGCACCCGGCAATAACTTTATAATCTCTCAATCTCTGTTTCAGTCGAGCAACTCAAATATATGAACAAATTGTGATAAATTCAAATGTAGTAATACGAGTGGGAAAGTGCGTACAAACTCGTATGTAAAGCAATGGCCGAGGTCACAAATAAAGAGATCTTCCAACATATATAGTTTCGATTACCATTAGTCGGACCGATATTTGTGCACTGTTTTTTGTTAACATATTGATATACCTAGTGACCCGGAAAAATAATTACTTATAGATAAAACACATTGGTCAAAGTACTTGAAGTTTGCTCTTTGTTACGTGTCTTTGCGTTCACGCTGATCTAATCTAGAATGTGTAAACTGTGGTATGGGTATGCACATTACTAAACGATGATCGCAATAAGCATACGTACTAAGTCGAATCTCATTTAGTATAATTGTGGACTAATGAACACAATCTGTACAATTGATCTCCGTGGCTGCCATCTACCCCGAACGGCAAGTGTTGAGAAATCCTTGTAACATATCGTAGTTATCATATCATAGAGCTGTGTAAGAGTACAGGAAAAACGACAAAGTTTCGTCATCGAAAGAATTATCTTGTAATTAAATGCTAATACAAATAAAATACGTTTAAAAGGAAATATATATCTAAACAAAACAAAATTGAACACACAATGCGTCTAAATCAAATGTGGCGCGTGTTTACAAAAAGCAAATATGTGATTTAAAATTTTAAAACCCAGTTCTCACCCAAGTGTTTAAAAAGCAACAATACTGTCCAAGTAGTTTTGAACTTAAAATGTTATACCCTATAGTATCAGGTCAATTGCTTTTCGAATCAGGTGAGGACCAAGCTTTTAAAGAACACTGTTTTTTCCGAACATTTTGTGGTAATCTATGTCTTGAAGTCCGCTAACGGTATGGTACAGATAAATGCAATTAACGAACCCTTTCTAAAAGTCCAATTTAAACACTTCGTTCGTTGACTAAGAATCCAGAAAAGGTTGTGTAGAAACCATGAACATGTGTGCCACCTTGGTACAAAAGTCGAATCCATACGTTATCCCCAGATTGTAGGTTGACGACCACACCATTGCTACCAGAACCATGTGCATCATGAGCACCAGAATACATTCTTCCAACTTCTTTATCGTTAACTATTACTGCTGTTTCTACCTTGGTGTTGTAACCAGAAAGTATGGTTGAAAAGAGGAAGTATGTACCTGTTACTGGTACGGTGAATTTACCATTCTCAGAATTATAACCATCACCATTATTGGTAACCACTGTATCAAATATAACCGTATCCAAGGGTTGTAATTCTCGGTTATAACTCAGTTTAGCAGAGAAAGATACTTGTGGTGTTATATCGGCTTGTAAAGGTGTCGAGGCAACTGAAAAGAGAACAAAGAAAAACTTTGCAGGGTATATGAATAAGTCGAAAGGTGGACTCTAGTATCTCATCTCGAAAAATGGATGATTCCAGCCAATCAGTTCTGCGAGGTGATCTTTTACCCTTAAAGTAGAATTGATGATATTGGCAGCAACTACCATGAACGACTATACCCAGTGATTGATCAGATTTTCTCGATGTATGCAGTTTCTAACAATAGTTTAAATTCAGTTTTATGTAATAGTTGACGTTTAAGGAATCATCTATCATTGACGATAGGAACATGACCTGTGAATAGGTAAAAAAAAATAAGTGTGTATGGTGATCTCTTCAATTTAAAAATTGACGTTATATATGAATTGTAATAAAGTCTAACAGACGCTTGAATAGGACGACATATTTACAGTAGGAAATGTTCCCTTTTAAGAAAAGACTTCAAATGTATGTTTAAAAGAAGAACGAAGTATTGTTCTAGTCAACATATCGCCATGTTTTAGCTTCCGAAAGAACCTCTCCAATCAATTGTTTCGACGAAATCATATTTTTTATGAACAATAAGTGTGTCTGCATTTACAAAAAAGGCTATTCATATACTGTTACATACAATAAGAATCAAGCTTGAAAATTTGAATAACTGAATTAAAAAAATTATTTGCACTTGCAACGTAATGTTGTGTGTTATGTCAGAAAATAAGCCTACTCTTTACTACTTTAAATTAACACGGGACGTTTATCAAGATCTCCGACCTGCATCATCCTGGTGGATACGGGGTTAAAAATGTGGAGATGCTGCCTCGACCTGTGCATTTCTACTAAGTTAACTACCATGTAAATAAACTAAGAAAGTAAGTGTAAATTGATCGAGGTGTTGATTTATTCAAAATATTATATCTTCATATTGATTCTATATGATCAATAATCTATCAAAAGTGCTTAATGGTTAACAGCGTAATTTGTAAAATTACATTTTAGTGCAAGCTGCTTAAAGTTGTATTGAAAAATCTTTTATCAGCCTAAGGTGTTGAGAAACATATTAAATCAGATAGTCTCTTCCCAATCTCGTCTTTATCGACTAATGTTCCTCAGGGCAGTTTGAAAGATACCAAACAAACATTATTAACTATGTAGAAAAGTTAATAAACCAAAACGCAAATTGTCAAAGTGTTTCCTCAGGTGATCATGTCTTGCAGTGCCTATTTCTTGGTTGGCGGTCTAACATTCACTAGGTTATCAACTAAACTCATCCACACAGTGGCATCATGTAATTTAGATAGGTGACCAAGCCCTCGTTCTTAAATGTGATATACCGATGAAAGATGATATTAGTTATGTTTTTTTAATTACACGTCAATGTTTTTTGTTCACCTTCAATTAATTTAAAAAAAAAACAAAGCCATTGAAAATACTTTTGTGTAAGCATAAAAGCAAACGCAGACTAATCTGGTTTATTTTTAGTTGAATGGCCACGTGCGGGTATACTTCAAATCGCAATTCCAATAAGTTATATATGAATTGCAAAACTAATCTTTTTCCGGCTTGGTTCCTAATATTTTTTTTAAAATGTTGTCTAGACTTCAGTACAAGATTATATTTCACGACACCAAGAAAACTTGCATTTTCTTTAATTCTACCGACCGTGTCATTACCTAATGATTGGGTTGAGGCATATAATATATATATATAACAGTATATCGTTATTCACGCCACTACAGTTATTTGTAGTTTGGATGTTTTTCATTGTATAGTCGTTCATAAAAGTGGGGTGAAAATGTTGCCCAATGGTCAAAAAGGAAGAAGCAATAAAAGAACGCAAAATGAACACTTTTGATGTTCGCACAATTGATGTCTATTTCAGAAAATTTTGTAACTTCTTGTAAAGTATATCTACCTCGTTTTACTTTGACTTTGGTATCATTACGTAATGCATGCACAATTGATCTCAATGCATACATCTCAGAAACATAAGTCTCCATAGTCGACTTCAGTTCCATCCTGGCAGCAGTTTCAGCCTGTAGATCTTTCTTGAGGGTATTAATTTGATTGGAACAGGAGCAGTTGTTGGTGCCAGCTACCCACGTATTATACCTGGTAGGTGTTGGTCCTGCTGCGTATGTCATCCCGACCATAAAACACAATATTAGAATTTGAACATCCATTTCAATTCAGAGTTTATATTATCCAATACTTTGAAAGAGTCCTTTACCACCTAACTGGTCTTGTTCAATTGTTTAAATCCTTAACAAAAGGTCAAAATCTGACTTTTATACACAGGTCGAGAGGGGAACAAACATTGGCTCAAACCGTTTCTTTCCAAACAAGGTTTGAAGTCAATAGTAAGTCAATAATGTATGTCGTAAAAATAAACAGATCAGAACGCAAGGTATCGTTACATCCAACAAACAACCGAGCCAACAACCAAAAAATATACATCATCACTTGTTCCTAATGAATAAGTCAATATTTATTTCCGATGTATTCTTTTTGTCTCTGTGTTTGAGGGATTTTCACTACAAAACGAGTGATAGTTGGCAAGCTTAGCATCCAATGTGTAACATTTGTAAAACGCTTGTGTTCTCTGGCTGTAAAGATATGGGGTTTATATTGGTTACAGATGTTTCTAAAATTGAATTTGTCGACTAATAAGATGTATGGATGTTTGGGGTAATTCAAATTGTCACATCATATGTCTAGAAGTTTTTAAGTGACACAAGATTGATAAAAGTGGACTCATTTTATTGGCGATTCACAGCAACTCATCTCATCTCAATGGCCGAAATTGGTTACTACCTATAACCTGCGAGAAAATGGATGGTTGGTCTAGGGTCGGGTAACATCTGAAAGTGTGGAACATTTTTCCAGTCTTAAAGGTGTACTCATTTAAACTAGTCTTTTGAAACATCTTATATGGTGACGTTCACATCGAAATCGAACGACTACTAACAACCATCTACGATCATTTGGAAGATGTAATTTGTATTCGAAAGTAGTAAGGCATAAGCATCGGGTGAAAGTAATATTTTTCTACTACATCCACCGATTGATCTTATGCTCCCAGCTGTGCTAGTTGCGGACAATGACAATCAAGTGGCGCCCAGATTTTGCATTTCGCAAACTCGACCGAAGATTCCTGGTATTTGCTTTGCTATGTTATTTCAGGCAGAAACGTCAACAAATAAGAAAATAGGAGAATGCCTTCCTACGAGAACAAAGACATATACTCATCATTCATACCTTTAAATCGATGCGCATAAGAAAAGATGAGTTTCCGATATTAATTCCGGTTTGAACTATATACTTCTTCAATTCTTTGTTACTATCTATCGATTGGTGTGACTATTTTGAAATTGTGGATATGATAATTAAGCTTTTATTTAACCCATAGATGGCTTAACTAGTCATTAAAAACGTTACTTCATGGTGCATTTTTCCTGGATTTCGTGGAACCAATGGGTACTACATATTTCATATCTCGACTATAATCAAGTCTTTATTGCAGAGATTCTTCAAACCACAAGTCAGCCGTCTTTACTACAATAAAACGAAAGTGGCAGAATTGTTCTTTATTGGTTTGTTTGGGATCTGCTGAGGTTATCTACAGAAGTTTTGTTTGGTTTATGGGTATATATCTGAATTTCCTTCATAGGCAAACACGAGTGAGAAGATACGTACTATAAATTCCGTATCTTTTGAATATAATATACGAGTGAATCTTTCAATAAGACCGTGGGAGATGTGGACAAATAAAGAAGACTGTTTCCCCGAAGCATTAAACTTTATCATAATTGGCATTAATTGTGGTATTCCAATTTGTAATGAATTTTATTTGTCGATATTGTACTGGTATACTTAAGCTTTAATTGTTGCAAATTGAAAGGCGTGATTTTGGTCAGAAAAGCTCTTCACAATTCCTTACAAGAATGAATACCGTACATGATAATTTTACTAGACATGGCTTGAAGCGCTTTTTATCTTTATTCACGACAAAAATGTAATTTCCTTCCATTTGTTATTATTGCAATTAGGCCTCAGATGATGACAAGATTATCGAAGTCCGAATTCATGGCGCCTTTCATAAAAATTAATATATATGTGTACCAAATTGGACACAGTTATAACATTTCTTGGTTATTTGAACCTGGCACATACTGCCCTTTTAAAAGGAGTACTAACTTCATCTTTGTGCCCACAATAGTCACATTTGATTTAATTTTAATTCATAGCGCATGATTCTATTTTTTATTTTATTATTTTAACGCCTACTTCGAATTCTGTGTTTTATTAATAAAGGATTGATGTGGAATGTTGATTGTGATAAGTCTGGCTGATTGTTTTGAAAAGAAAGCTTCTAACTCTTAACATAAAAGAGGTTAATCAGACGACAAGGAAATACCAAAAAATCATAAGATAATAACTGACATTGTTTAAGAGAAATACAATGACATAGAAACCTGACGTCACATTTGATTTACCTTGAAATACAATTTTTGTTAACCTATTAGCTAATTTATCGACCCTCTTTTTTGTATCTTATTGGGCGAGCTGATGAAGATATGTACTCTAAGAGTGATGTTTATTTGCAGTCTTTTTTTATTTCGATTTCCAATTTGTCAATATATCAATGATGATCCACATCAAATCATGGCATTTAGAGCTTTGAATATTCTTCAGAGGAAAGAATGTTGAAAAACGTTGTTTGCTTTGTTTCATCGAAAAAATGATGTTTTGATATTATTATTCCATCCGACCCAGCTGTGGATAATCCAGGAAATATCAAGGACCCGTAAGGAAAACAGCCTCTGTAACCTAAGTTGTTATCCTTGTAAAAACATGATTGTGTCGTTCCTTTCTTTTAGTACATCATGGTATTTTGGCAAACGTTCACTACTAACAATTTTTCAATTCAGAGAAAACAGAAGGAGGGGATTAAGCATCAAACGCTTTTTTAATTCCTCTGAATATTTGTAAATATCCCCAAGTACGAGTAAAACCTGTGAATGTTTTGAAGACGGGAATG